CTTCCTGCTGTTCCAAATCTCTAGGCTGTGTAATCATCTGCTGATCACTTTGTCAGTTCTTTTAGAATCTGTGAAAACAATTTCCAGGATTAAATTCATTTGGTTTTATTGCACTGGTTTTGGACTTTTACTCCCAATCCCACCATCTGTACCATTTTTAGTGACATTGGGGCTGAGCCTGATCTGCAAATAGCAGGGCACTAAGAAGCTAGGGAAGGAGGGAGGAACGTGTACCCTCCTATTTGCTTTCTTTTGCTGTGTTACCCCGGTAGCACTCAAGCACCAGTGGTCAATTCCAGTGGCATTAGTTGGCTCCATTTTGCAAGATTCCAACACCAAAACCAGTCTTACCATGTTCTCTTAAACACCTCAGAACAAACCAGAAAAGCCTCTCCCTTCACCCTCATCTCAGAAGAGTCTCAGTCATAGTGAGCCTTTTCTCTGAATTCTTGAGATCCTAGCACCGCCAAAATGGTGTTCTTTCCTCAAAAGTCTGAGCTTTAGCTTTGCAGAACTCCTCATTAAAACTTGTAAGGTTTAATAAATCCAAATTCTTCCCTTTGTTCCTCTATTCCTAGAGTTAGAAGCTACCGCCTGAAGTTTCTACCTCCAATAACATGTTTACATTCCCTTTATTTATTATCTGTTCTCTAATATTTGGTTAATAATTCTTTAATTTTTCTCAATTAAAGGAATCAGTATGGTTCTTATATTTGACCAGACCATAACTGAACACTGGTTTTCTTTCCTAAGTTAGAATGTGACTTATATGTATGAATTCAACAGTCCCTAAATAGAATGCACACCCAGCACATGTTAAATCTAAGTGGATAAAATCTAAAATTGATAAATGTGCCTTTTTTCTTTGATAGCAGGATTGAAGGAAAGACTATTACTGCACTGGGGTAGGGCATCTGCTGTTGGAGAGGAATGCTGACCATTTCTTGGATGGGTTCATGCTAGAGAGAGCAGGCATGGTGTCCTCGTAGATCCTGTTCCACAAAGACAATCTGGATTATGGCTGGAGTTATAAGCCACCATACAGAGTAAAGATACATTACATTAAATCAAGAGGAGAAGAAGTAAACGATGAAGAGATGCTTCTATGCACAATTTATGAAAGCACCCAATGTAAGAAAGAATCAGCTTTAGACATTTAATAGGCCCAGTTAACACAATAGCAGTTAATGTCAGCACCGGTGGATTTTCAACTTTCCATTTTCCCTCCTCTCTCTTCCTTGGACGAGAAGCCAGAAACCACAGTTAGCAAGTGAAGGATAGGGGAAGAGGGAAGGACAGAATACTGACTGCTAGAAAGTTTGACTATTACATGAGGCTGAACATTCTAATTATTCACTAGTGGATCTTTTATTATCTAAATATGACCAGAAAATGTGGGGAATTGAGTCCTAATCCAGGATTAGAAAAAGAACCAGCCCCACCCAATACATTTAAAGGGACAAGAATAATAAAAATATTTATTTTCTGGTTGCACTTCAATGGATGGGCATAGTCAACATATTAATACTATATCCCTCAGTAGGTAATGAGCTCTTCCCTTACAGTGTCTGCCCATCCACCATCAGATGGTGTCTTGAATTGGGTAGAGAATTGGTCTGGCAGATTTTTCAGCTAAAAGAGCACATGCTTTATTCCCAGCAGTCATTAAGGACCTCGGGAGACTAAAACCTCCCTGAAGAATTCTCAGACACAAAGTCAGTGTCACTTCCCTGTTCCTCATCCCAGGGCTTAGAGTGAGATATAAAGGTGGCAGGCATGAATTCACCTTAGCAGACAGAGAGAAGGACTTGTTCTGTGTGTGGTTGTCATCTGTCTGTCTTCTGGTGAGTTCTGAAACCCTACAGAGATAAGCCAGCTGGTTTTCCTGAAGCCTGCACCAGGAAAAGTTTGAATTGGGCAACAGGTAGGACAAGATGAAGTGGGAGAGCCTGGGAAGAGGGAATCTGATAGTGGCATCTTAGTAGAGTGGGCAGAGCAAGAGGAAAGATCACTGGACTTGGGGTTCTTGTTCTGGCACAGCCATGAACTAATTGTGTAACCCTGGGAAGTTCACTGTATTCTCTAGGTTGCTCACATGCCATCATCAATTTCCCGGGGACTCCAAGCTTCAAAGGTCAGTGTGTCTACGATTTATTGACATTGCTGCAAATTCAGAGAGGGAAGCAGGACTCAGGACACAAGAAAGGTTCAGAAATCTGGGAGCAAAGTAGTCACAACCAAACCTATGACAAACTAACAGCTGAAACACACAGGGTCTAACCTACTTAGCTCTTGCAATATGAACTCTGAGATAACAAAATATGTAAAAATTTCCAAGAGATTAAGAGAACAGGAGAAATCACCTATCCATAAACTTTAGAAGAACCATGAATAGCTAATTATTTCTGGTCTTTTGCTATCCATGATATAGATTGAGAGTTATGGTCTTTGGAAAGCCTCTCTATACATCCCTCCAGCTCCTCTCTACCTCCTTTCTGATTCACATCAGCACCCTAGCATACTCTCACAGGCATCCTTTGCTCGACCAGAAACTAAAAAGTAAAAGAACATCAAAGTCATAAAGGATCTTAGAGATTATTCCAAAAAAACTACCATAAAGAAGACACAAATCTAGAAAGAGAAATGGATTTTTACAAACTCACATAGCCAGTACCTGCCAGAGCTAGGGTCGAATCCCAGGACTCCTGACGCTCAGCCCAATGTCCTTTCCCCATAATCATCCCAATTCTTATATAGCTTCAGTAATATGAAATTTCTGGGTTCCAGGAGCAGAAGAAATTGAGTCTGGCCTTGGAGACAGTTATTTTTGCATCATTTTCTTCGTATGTTTCTGTCTTTAGCCACTCACTTCCCTTATTTAAGGGTACCTGAAAAATCTTAGTTCAGAAATGCATACCTCTATTTTTCTTCTCAACTTCCTCTCCAATGTGTTAATGATGCCTCAAAGACATCATTGGTAACACAGTAGAGAGTCCCATGACTCATTTTTTTCTTCTTTTTCAGTCTTATCATTTTCTCACTGTGAACTATGAGTCAAGCTAATCTCACAGGGCCTGAGTGTCCACATCTATCAAAGATTACAGAGTAAATGGATGTAAAGTTCTCTGCAGGGTACCTAGCACATTGCATATGTTCAATAAGTATTCGTTTTGTCTCTCAATATTACTTTATTTCTATTCATCTATCCTGACAACCCACCACGTTAGTGGTGCCAGGGTATGGGATGAGGTGTAATCCTAGTACTATCAGGTATCCTTCTTTCCACAAATACTAACGCTTAAGTCTCCAGGGCCAGAATTACTTTGGCCCTGCCCTAAACAGAATCATGCTTTCAGTCTGGTTTCTTTTCCTTCTCTTTCTGTTATCTTTACATTAGCTCAGTCCTCTTCTATGGTTTCCAGTTACATTCTACGAGGCTCTGTATGAAGATTGGTGTTATAGTTAGATGGGAGAAACAGGAGACAAACAAGATTGATCAGTCCTGGATCCCAAGGAATCACAATTCTGGAGGGAACAGGCATGCACAGGCTGAGCTCTGAGACCAGAAGGGACATAATCAGTGTAAAACACATGCTGGGAACCATAGCTCATGTAAGTTCTGTACTGCTGGGGAAAATTCAAAAATGCTACCTAGAGTGACACTGCTGCACTGCACACCATCCTAGCATCTCCGTCACTTTCAGATAGCTAGGGTTCCCCTTCCTCCTCCATTCCCATCAGAGAGAACTCTGAGAGCATCGTCTGACCTTGCTGTGTTAGCGGTTGAAGAAGAAGGAGACAGAGAAAAGGGGGGTATGGATTTCTAGAGCCCTTCTTTCTAAAGGAGGATACGCTCTAAGCCTAAAACATGTCTGTGAGGTGAAAAGCCTTCCAGCCTTCTCCATCCCTATTTACCATGGACCAATGACCATGAAAGCCTTTCACAAACATCTGAATTATAGGATAATAAATGCTATAATTACTCTTACAGAGAAATAACTGTAGGAGTTTAATACTTGGGTGACAGTATAAGAAAAATTGTGAGTAAATACAATGCATGAGGGTTTAGAAGAGTGCTATGTGGGTGAGTGGATTAACAACTGTGAGAAGTCTGCAAGCATGTGGACAGAAGTGTTGTGCAAATAAACAAATCTGTGTGTATACCTGAGTGTACACACATAGAAATGCTGCATGTGACGGTGCAGACTGAATACGAGCATGACAAGACATGTGCATGTTAAAGGGTGTAAAGATCAAGAGGGATTGTGTGGATGTATTTGTACAATAAGAGTAAAAATATGAGAGATGGAGAGAGTGTGTGGCAGAGTGCTGTTGGAGTATAGTAAGATCCAGTATAAAGCTGCTGTGAATATGTGGATATGTCTATGTGAGTAATGGGTATTTTGAGAGTACATGTGACTGTGTAAGGTTGTGATAGTTTGTATTTGGAAAAATTTCCTCCCACAGACTAAAAGTTAGTGTGCCAATGCTATACATAATGGAATGAATATTCCTTTTATATTTGTGTAGAATATTTAGGGAAGAAAACTCAATTCTTCTAAAAACAGAAACAGCTATGTGCCTTTGCACAAATATGTGTATTTTTTGTTTGTTTTTGTTTGGTTTTTTTGCAGCAACTCTGCCGCTGAAAAGCTGATGTCCAGAGGCAACTATTTCCACACTCTCCTGCCCCTTCCCCTCTCCATCCAAGCACATATCATAATTCAAAACATCTCTGGGGAGTTCTCTCATTAATAACAACACATCTGAATTAAACAACATTTTCAGGAAAATATTTAAATACTTCCCAGAGCTATTGATGACTCAAATTCCTGACTTTCTTCTATCATAACTATCTGCAAATTATAGTTAACATATTTCTATTGAATGATGCTTATAAAGCACATCAAGGTTGTAAATAACATAGTTTAAGCACTTTCCTTGTAGCTAATTGACATTATCAAAATATTTGTCAGTGTCTTCTTTCTTGCATAAAACAGAGGGAAATCTCAGCCTGTAGCCTGATGATCATAAAATATGAAGAAAAGAAGTTTGCTTGAACTGTCTGCAAACCACTGATTTCAAGAGTGCATCAGTTTCCAACTGCATATACATCGTTGGTATGTCCCTTCTTGTTTTCTTGTCTTCCATTAAGTGCTACTTTTAGAATTCTTCAAATCAGAAGATCTGGCCCTGAAAAGTGCCCAAAGTTACTCCTGCCATGGGATGGTTCAATGTCACTCACCCTGCTTTCTTCCTCCTGACCGGTATCCCTGGTCTGGAGAGCTCTCACTCCTGGCTGGCAGGGCCCCTCTGCGTGATGTATGCTGTGGCTCTTGGTGGGAACATGGTGATCCTGCAAGCTGTGCGGGTGGAGCCCAGACTCCATGAGCCCATGTACTACTTCCTGTCCATGTTGTCTTTCAGTGATGTGGCCATGTCCCTGGCTACACTGCCCACTGTACTCAGAACCTTCTGCCTCGATGCCCGAAATATTGCTTTTGATGCCTGCCTAATCCAGATGTTTCTAATTCATTCCTTCTCCATGATGGAGTCAGGTATTCTGCTGGCCATGAGTTTTGACCGCTATGTGGCCATTTGTGATCCCTTGCGCTATGCCACTGTGCTCACCAATGAAGTCATTGCTGGGATAGGTTTAGCTGTGACTGCCCGGAGCTTCATCACCCTCTTCCCACTTCCCTTCCTTATCAAGAGGCTGCCTATCTGCAAGTCGAATGTTCTTTCTCACTCCTACTGCCTACACCCTGACATGATGAAGCTTGCTTGCTCAGAAATTACTGTCAACAGCATCTATGGACTCTTTGTTCTTGTATCCACCTTTGGCATAGACCTGTTTTTTATATTCCTCTCCTATGTGCTGATTCTGCGCTCTGTCATGGGCATTACTTCCCGTGAGGGACGCCTCAAAGCTCTGAACACATGTGTGTCACATATCCTGGCTGTACTTGCATTTTACGTGCCAATGATTGGGGTCTCCACAGTGCACCGTTTTGGGAAGCATGCTCCACGCTATATACACATCATGATGTCGAATGTCTACCTGTTTGTGCCTCCTGTACTCAACCCTTTCATCTATAGTGCCAAGACAAAGGAGATCCGCCAAGCCATTGTCCGCATGTTTCACCGCCTCAAAATATGACTTTCCCCTTTGGTTTTTGGATCTAATGTTTATTGTCGCCATAGGCTCTCATCAGTAACAGGGGCATCATCATCATCATCATCACAAAGTATAAAAAAGATGTATGTACTGGGGGAAATTAAAAGAGCAGGAAGTGAAGATGTAAAACTTGTAACACAAAACGAGACGTTCCGAATGCATAGTACACTCAGTAAACACCAACAGCATTGATAGTTAAAAATTGGAGGCAATTGAATGATTAGACAAGTTTTACAGAGGAAGAGTAATCTGAGCTAGGAATTATTTTCTACAACAATGAATTTTACTAATATAATAGTTGATAAAGTGAGTCCTTAAATGTGTCAAGCTCTATTCTAAATTATTAATGCTCATTAATTTGTTTAACATTCATAACAATCCTCTGAGGCACAGAGAATAAGTTAATTACACAGGTTAACATAAATAATATGTGTCTCCCCTGTGTGCGCCCAACCACTGCAAATACAGCTTCCCTATCTGGCATCACTTAGCATCATCGTTACTATCTTTGCTTTCTCCACCACTGTCATTCCCAAACACTCCCACATTGCTTTAACTTCACACAGTGAGATCCAGTACACTATCAGAACTCACCACAAAATGTATGAACAAATATGACCCATGAAAACTGATAAATGTTGACATTTGAAGAATCTCTAGATTCCTCTCTACTTCTTTAATCTGGCCACCACCCAATCCTCCCGCAGGGAAAATAATGATCAATATCTTAGATATCTGAGATAGGGACTTTTTGGAGGGAGGGACCATTGAGCTAGAGATATGAATTCTTCTCATCTTTCCTTCTTAAGATTTTAACTTTCTTTTACACAATGACACATTAAGATGTATCAAAAATTATGTCCTTCTAGGATTTCTAGCTCCAAAAAGCCTAGGATAGGCAGAATAAGACACTTATGATTTAGATACCAGAAAATAATTATTTCTAATTTACTCTTAGACTGATTTTCCTTACATACTCTTCCCATTATAGCAGGGAGGTAGGATACAATAAGAAATTATTTGGCCTAATTTTAGTGATCTCAGACTAAGTTTAGGTTTACTTCTAGACAAACAAATAAGCAAAGGAGATGCCCTATACAGAGAGTCTAACGTAAGTCTCCAAGGTAACTGGCCTGGAGACCACATGGCAACAAAGCACATAGTTAGCTAGAGTTTTTCTCTTTGTACAAAGCTCCATTGAGGAATTATCAAGAGAAATGAGCAGGGCAGAAAGAGGAAATTATTTCTAAACAGAGATAATGTAAGTATTTGGGATCTAGATTTTCAAAAATGTCTAAATCTGCATTAAGAGACTCAATATATGTGCTCTGGCCCACTAAATAAATTATTTTCAGCAGAACAATTGAATAGCATAACTCAGTATGATTTCAAATAGAAAATAATTGGGATATTTAGTAATCTAGAGTACAATATGGTCTTCAGTCAATTTAAATAACTTTTCTGATTCATGTAAGAAGCTCCAATTTCAACATCAAATAATAATAATAATTTTAATGCTTTGATATTTTAGTTTCAAACTAATACATAGTTGCAAAGGCAAAATTTAGGGAAGTTACTAAATGAAAGTAAACACTCACCGATTCCCACCTCAGAGACAGCGAGGGAGACACCCTTTTGACATAGGCCTGACTTTCAAACCCAGTCGTATAAAAAAGGAGAAAGGACAAGGAATGATGGAATACCAGCCTCCCAAAAGAGCCTATAGTTCCTGTCCACTTTATTTCCCCCTGCTTTTTTCCATCCTCAATTCAAAGAGCTACTGATTTTCAGGGGCTAAAGGAAAAAGAATTTTGAGATTTCTTTGTTGATCTATTTATTGGTGTTTATACATTTGAGCACAGGCAACTGGATGCCCTCCAGACAGCTGAGCAGAACATTTGCTCCTAAATGCTTTCAGATTTCCTAGGAACAGCACACAGGTTATGAAGTCAGCAGTTACTTTGTGAATTTATCTGTCTAACTTCAAGCATTCTTTTCTGAAGAATGAATGAATTGCCCTCGGCAGGGGAAGAGGACAAGTATTAAGCAAGCACTAAATTGATGTGAATGTCGGAAACCAAGATTTGGTCTCATGGTCTCATTTGGTCTCATACTTGGAATAGGTTGGTGTGGTTTATGATTATATTTACAATATAAAGCTTTTTTTTCCTTTGTTTCCATTATATACAAAAGACTTGTTCATCAACTATATGTAAGAAAATAAGTAGAGGAAATAAATTATCCATTGTGTAATCATTTAATTAGTTGGTTTGATTTGTACATGTATAATTCAGATGTCAGCTGACAACACCTAAATATTTGATATTTCACTGAAATTTGCCTAAGCCTCCAACACTCTTCAAATGTAAGGTATAATCCTCAGGCGAAACTTCCCATAAATTTTGGAGGTGTTTATCACTCACCCAAAGCACTGAAATGTGGCTGGCTTTATTGAAAAGATTTACATGACAAATTGATTTCAGCTAATAAAAATGCAAAAAGCCAGAACTGGGTATCAGACAGCCTTGATCTTTCCTCATTTACTGCTAGCTATGTTATTCAGGAAATCTTCCCTAAAGTGTTTCTCAGATTTCATTACTTCTAGCAGAGATTATTAGTCATTGTCCTGTACTCAAACCCAGGTCTAAACAGTGTGGAGATAATTTGGGGGAATAGATATTATATAATTCTGGTGTTATAGTATTTTTTCCTCCCAGCTTTGTTTTTTGTTTGTTTGCTTGCTTGCTTGCTTTTTTTATTTGCTTATAAAGAAACATTACAGCTCGTTCATTTATTTATTCACTTAACAATATTTATTGAAGCCTGCAATGTGCTGAGCACACTAGATTTGAGGACTCAGTGGTTGTGGGATTTAGTCATTGGGGTTTGCGAGAGAAACCTACCTGAAGATATGGGAGGGCTGTGTCAACATCTCCTGGGATTTCTTTACTAATTACATATTCCTCTTGAATGCCTGCTCACAAAGCTTCACCATGCTTTGAGTGGCTGCCGTGTGAGGGAAGGGTGTTTGTGGTGGACATATATTACATGTTCATGTGTGCTGTGAAAGGACAACGGCTGAGAAACACAGGGCTACATATTTAAGGCAAATATCCCACAATTATAAGCTGGGAGAAATAAGCTTCCTGGGTGACAATTTATATTTTTACAATGAAAAACAGACAATAAACAATCATGGCTCAGAGTCACCTTTCTTATTAGTTTTAATAGCCAAGGCCAGTATCTCTGACTTAAACAAATCCTTCTGTACATGTTGAGCAGGTTAAAACTTTATCAAGCACCAAGTGGCCTTTTCTATATTTGACATGACACTGTGAAAAGAAAATCTATTGTATGATATTCACATAAAATCTAAGAATCAGAAAGTTAATAAACAAATTTTTGACTAAATGGGCAAGTAGCAAATAAAGTAAATCTGAAACACAAAGAAATTTCTGCTGAGCACACAGATTCAAAACCTGATATCACTGGTTATAAGCATAAGATTAGAAATCTTCTCCATATGAATCATTCAACAAGGTATGGAGACTGACAATTATGTTCAACAGGGAAGCATGATTCAACATTTATAATTCAAATATCTATAAGAACATTTCTATAAGTAATGTAGAAATAAAAGTTTATGACTATGGAAGGAAAAAGATATAAAATACTATTTATGTATAAACTGGACAATTTGGCTCTATTTTTAAATAGATCTAGATATTTTTTCAAAATAAATTCTTAACAAACCCTCTCAGCCTTTAATTCATACACAAATATTATAAATAGGTTTATAATTTATATTTATTTAAATGACAATATACTCTATAAAATACTTATTTTACCAGTTTGAACAAATACAAATATTTTTTCACACGTCTGATAATTACAGAATTAGTTAATATTTATTAGACAGTAGTAAAACAAAATATATATCCA